ACATTCCACTGGAATGTAAACTGCCATGTCTGTAGGCGATCGAGGTGAATTCAGTTCCTTGCTCAGGGGAACAACGCGCCGGCCGTTGACTCGAACTCTCGAACTCAGATTGTCATTACAATCTTTGAGTCCTTTGCTCTACCACTCGGCTACCGCGGCCTCATGTGTGTGTGTGTGAATAAATAAATAATATATATATATATATATATATATATATATATATATATATATATGTATTTATTTATTTATATATATATGTGTGTGTGTGTGTGTATATATTTATATATGTATATCTATTTATGTTTCTATGTATTATGTAGATATATATCATGTATATATAGTTCTTATCTTCTCCCCATCCTCATCCTCATCCTCCTTTCCCCTTCCTTCCTCTCTTCCTCCCTCCCTCCCTTCCTTTCTCCCTCTCCTCCCTTTATCCCCATTTCCCTTCCCACCTCCCCTCATCTGACCCGATTGCTCTTGTAATTGCATTCTGGTTATCACTATGGCTTGTTATTAAGGATTTTTTCTTTTCTTTTTTATCTCTTGCGTTTCGTGGGAATAGGCTTAATCTTATTCCTGTCATTTGCATACTTTTGATCTTGCAAATATATGTAGGAGGAGACTGTTCAGGGTAATGATGCAGGGGATAACACATTGTTTTTGCATTACAACTACACCGTGGGCTCTCGCATACAGACTCGTATACATAACTTTCAGCAACTAAGCTAGATTTTACATACAACAAATAACAACTAAAGTACCCTGAACAAATAACAATTTTTTGCTCACACGTGCGCACGTACGCTCACTCACTTGCATCGAACTTCTCCGTAAGACTTTTCATGATGTCTAAAGTTTAATCTGCGTATTACACGGACAGAGTTTACCGTCTGTTTGGACGGAATTTTTCTTTTCTTTTCTTTATTTCGCATAGCTACATGTGAAAAGTTTCGCTGGTCAGGTTTAATGATCACACCGGTTGAACTTGCTGCCTCGGACCCTCCCCCAGGGCCCTGCCCAGCTCTCCCTCGCTCTTATCCTATGCTCCTTCCCATTCTCCTTCCCCCTCTTGAACACCTCTTCCATCTGTTTTCTCACTTTCCTTCTTATTCCTCTTTCCTTCTTTTTTCATCCTTCATTTTTCCTACGTCTTCATTCTCTCTCTCTCTCTCTCTCTCTCTCTCTCTCTCTCTCTCTCTCTCTCTCTCTCTCTCTCTCTCTCTCTCTCTCTCTCTCTCTCTCCCCCCTCCATACCGCTTCCTCCTTGCTCCTTCTTTACTTCCTCCTCCCTCTTCCCCTTTAGCTTCATCTTCTCTCTTCTTTCTCCTTCCTCACTCCATCTTTTCTCGCCCCACCCGCTCTTTCATCCCTTTTCCATCTTCCCTCTTCCACTTTCATCTTGCCTTTTCTCTTTCTCTTCTTCCTCCTTCCCTATTTTCTCTTTCCTCTTCCCTCTTCCCTCCTCCCTTTTTTCTCTTTCCTCTTCCCTCTCCTCTTTCTTCTCTTTCCCATTCCTTTTTTCTCGTTCCCCTTCCCTTTTTTATCTTCCTTCTCTCTTTTTTTCTCTTCCCTCATTTCTCTTCCTTCTTTCCTTTCCCCTTATTTGGTAGTTCAGCGTTCTGGAATCTAGTTCGTAGTTCGTTCTTTTACTAATTTTTGCTTCAGGCTCTCGCATGGGTCCGATTTTCAGTTCGGTTCCGCTGCGTGCGCTGACATGCCTGCATTGTCCTGTCTGTATTGTATGAATGTACTGAGT